TAGCCAAAAAAAGCTAGGTTAGGTTAGGTTAGGTAGGTTAGGTAGACGAAAAAACATTAATTCATGAAAACTTGGCTTATTAGGCAAATCGGGCCTTGAATAGTAGGCTGAGAAGTGCGTTCTGGCTATTAGGTACGACATATATATATATATATATATATATATATATATATATATATATATATATATATATATATATGCATACATACCAAGAACTACCTTCAGAAACTAGAATATGCGGCTCCGGCGTGGAGTCCACATCTAGTCAAACACAAAACGAAGTTAGAAATGGTTCAGAGGTATGCCACCAGGCTAGTCCCCGAGCTGAGAGAAATGAGTTATGAGGAAAGATTACTGGAACTTAAACTTACGACACTGGAAGAGAGAAGAGTTAGGTGAGGCACGATTACTACATACAAAATTCTCAGAGGAATTGACAGGGAAGATAAAGATAAACTGTTGAACACGGGTGGTACGCGAACAAGGTGACACAGGTGGAAACCGAGTACCCAAATGAGGCACAGGGACGTTAGAAAGAACTTTTTCAGTGTCAGAGTAGTTAACGGGTAGAATGCATTAGGCAGTGATGTGGTGGAGGCTGACTCCATACACAGTTTCAAGTGTAGCTATGATAGAGCCCAGTAGGCTCAGGAACCTATACACCAGTTGACTGACAGTTGAGAGGAGGGACCAAAGAGCCAAAGCTCAACCCCTGCAAGCACAACTAGGTGAGTACTTTCCTCCTTCCCTCCCTTTCTCCCTCCCTCTCTCCTTCCCTCCTTTCCCTCACGCCCTCCTCCTCTATCACGTCCTTCCCACTTCCCCACTTCTTATCCCGTAATATCCCCTCTCCCCACCCACTCTCCGCCACCTCCCTCTCACCTCTCCCTCTCCCTCCACCCCCACCCCCCCTCCTCCTCCGGTAATTGGATGACAGAGATTCGATAAAAACGGGATAGCCGTAGCTGGGTAAGTAAGAATTATCCATGTCAGGTCATTCATGTCGCTCCCTCCCTGTCATCCCTACCGCCCCCCTCCCTGTCACCCCTACTGCCCCCTCCCTGTCACCCCTACTGCCCCTCCCTGTCACCCCCTACTGCCTCCTCCCTGTCACCCCTACTGCCCCCTCCCTGTCACCCCTACTGCCCCCTCCCTGTCACCCTACCGCCCCCTCCCTGTCACCCCTACTGCCCCCTCCCTGTCACCCCTACCGCCCATCCCTGTCACCCCTACTGCCCCCCTCCCTGTCACCCCTACTGCCCCCTCCCTGTCATCCCTACCGCCCCCCTCCCTGTCACCCCTACTGCCCCCTCCCTGTCACCCCTACTGCCCCTCTCTATCCCCCTCTCCTTCCTTTCCATATTTTCCCACCGTAATTATTAGCTGCTGTCATTTTAGGGTGAGAGACGTAGCAGAGACAGACAAAGAATTCCACACCATAAGCCACACCACAGGCCACAGGCCACACATCACACACCACAGGCCACACATCACACACCACAGGCCACACACCACAGGCCACACACCACACACCACACACCACAGGCCACACACCACACACCACAGGCCACACACCACACACCACAGGCCACACACCACACACCACACACCACACACCACAGGCCACAGGCCACACACCACACCATACACACCACACACACACCACACACCAAAGGTCACACCACACACCACAAACCAGCCCACACATCACACCCACACACACCACACACCACAGGTCACACCAGCCCACACACCACACCACACACCACACACACCACACACCACACACACCACACACCCCACCACACACCATAGGCCACACACACACACCACACACCATAGGCCACACACACACACCACACACACCACACACACCATAAGCCACTCCACAAACGGCTATGTAGATCTCTCCGCCTCAGCTGGGCCGCCATCTTTTTTTTTTAACTTGACTGGGAATGAGAATCAACGTCGACATCAAAGGATGTGTGTGTGTGTGTGTGTGTGTGTGTGTGTGTGTGTGTGTGTGTGTGTGTGTGTGTGTGTGTGTGCGCGCGCGAGTGTGTGTGTGTGTGTGTGTGTGTGTGTGTGTGTGTGTGTGTGTGTGTGTGTGTGTGTGTGTGTGTGTGTGTGTGCGTGCGTGTGCGTGTGTGCGTGTGTGTGTGTGTGTGTGTGTGTGTGTGTGTGTGTGTGTGTGTGTGTGTGTGTGTGTGTGTGTGTGTGAGCTTGAGTCGGACCTCATGTGTGTGTGTGTGTGTGTGTGTATGAGCTTGAGTCGGGCCTCATGTGTGTGTGTGTGTGTGTGTGCGTGAGGCGGGTCCCATGTGCGTGCGCTCCGGGTTGCCCATATGGCTTCCTCCTCGTCAATCTGTTCGTTTAATTCCTCATTATAAAATGCACTTGCGCCTCCCCCAAGGACCCGAGAGTCGAGAAAATCACATTAAGGAGATGATATCTTTCCCTTGGGGCGCCTTTGGAGAGTGTGGGGGGACTCATTTCATGCTATTTATTGAGGGTGGGGAAGTGGATTGTGGGTGTAGGCGGTGGTGGGGTGGAGTAGATGGAGTGGCGGAGGGTGTATGAGGGTGTGGTGGGTGGAGCTAGTGGGTGTAGGCGGTGGTGGGGTGGAGTAGATGGGGTGGCGGAGGGTGTATGAGGGTGTGGTGGGTGGAGCTAGTGGGTGGAGGTGGTGGGTGGAGTAAGGTAGAGAGGGAGGGGAGAAATATCATCAGTACTATCCTACTATCCATTCAAACACAGAATAAAGAGTAGTGTCAATAGCAGTGTTCAGTGTCTCTCATTACTTCCTTAATGGATAACTAATTCATACCCTCACATCTCTCTCTCTCTCTCTCTCTCTCTCTCTCTCTCTCTCTCTCTCTCTCTCTCCATCTCTCCTCTCTCTCCTCTATCAAATATGAAAGACAGGAGTCCCAAGGGTCTTTAGTTAGTTGAAGGGAGGGTAGAATGGAAAGGAGGGAGAGAACGCTGGGAGATGGAGGTTATTTTAGAGAGTACAAGGGGGATGGAAGGGGGGAGTGGTAGAGAGGGGATGGAAGGGGGGGAGTGTCGTAGAGGGGATGGAAGGGGGGGAGTGGTAGAGGGGATGGAAGGGGGGGAGTGGTAGAGGGGATGGAAGGGGGGGAGTGGTAGAGGGATGGAAGGGGGGGGGGGAGTGGAAAGAGGGGATGGAAGGAGAAGGGAGGGGAATTTATTGCAGAGGGAGGGATTGGCTTGACAGATGACATCTGATGTGTGAAAATCCCTGGTGGTAAGTGAGTGTGTTTAGAAATGTGGTGGAGGGTCTGCCACAGCTGCTGTGGTGGAGGGTGTGCCACAGCTGCTGTGGTGGAGGCTCTGCCACAGCTGCTGTGGTGGAGGGTCTGCCACAGCTGCTGTGGTGGAGGGTCTGCCACAGCTGCTGTGGTGGAGGGTCTGCCACAGCTGCTGTGGTGGAGGGTGTGCCACAGCTGCTGTGGTGAAGGGTGTGCCACAGCTGCTGTGATGGAGGGTGTGCCACAGCTGCTGTGGTGGAGGGTCTGCCACAGCTGCTGTGGTGGAGGGTCTGCCACAGCTGCTGTGGTGGAGGGTGTGCCACAGCTGCTGTGGTGGAGGGTCTGCCACAGCTGCTGTGGTGGAGGGTCTGCCACAGCTGCTGTGGTGGAGGGTCTGCCACAGCTGCTGTGGTGGAGGGTCCTGCCACAGCTGCTGTGGTGGAGGGTGTGCCACAGCTGCTGTGGTGGAGGGTGTACCACAGCTGCTGTGGTGGAGGGTGTGCCACAGCTGCTGTGGTGGAGGGTGTGCCACACTGCTGTGGTGGAGGGTGTGCCCACAGCTGCTGTGGTGGAGGGTGTGCCACAAGCTGCTGTGGTGGAGGGTGTGCCACAGCTGCTGTGGTGGAGGGTTGTGCCACAGCTGCTGTGGTGGAGGGTCTGCCACAGCTGCTGTGGTGGAGGGTGTGCCACAGCTGTTGTGGTGGAGGGTGTGCCACAGCTGCTGTGGTGGAGGGTTGCCACAGCTGCTGTGGTGGAGGGTCTGCCACAGCTGCTGTGGTGGAGGGTGTGCCACAGCTGCTGTGGTGGAGGGTCTGCCACAGCTGCTGTCCACAGCTGCTGTGGTGGAGGGTGTGCCACAGCTGCTGTGGTGGAGGGTGTGGCCACAGCTGCTGTGGTGGAGGGTGTGTTAGCCACAGCTGCTGTGGTGGAGGGTGTGCCACAGCTGCTGTGGTGGAGGTGTGCCACAGCTGCTGTGGTGGAGGGTGTGCCACAGCTGCTGTGGTGGAGGGTGTGCCACAGCAGCTGTGGTGGAGGGTGTGGCCACAGCTGCTGTGGTGGAGGGTCTGCCCACAGCAGCTGTGGTGGAGGGTGTGGCCACAGCTGCTGTGGTGGAGGGTCTGCCACAGCTGCTGTGGTGGAGGGTGTGCCACAGCTGCTGTGATGGAGGGTCTGCCACAGCTGCTGTGGTGGAGGGTCTGCCACAGCTGCTGTGGTGGAGGGTGTGCCACAGCTGCTGTGGTGGAGGGTGTGCCACAGCTGCTGTGATGTCACAGCAGGAGCAGCCTGGTGGTTGTACGCCTGGTGAGGACTCGCGGGGAGGTGCTGGGAGCGGGGGAGGATTGGGGAGGTTTGGGGGAGGTTTGGAGAGGTTTGGGGAGGTTTGGGGAGGGGCGGGGAGGAGTAGTGAGGTGGGATCGAACAAAGGCCGGGGGCGGGACCACCATCATAGTCTGGTTACACCTTGTTGCCTCCTGATTACACACATTGTGGCACGCCCTTCACTGGCACCATGGTCCCATTCCTGGCACTATGGCCCCATTCCTGGCACCATGGTCCCATTCTTGGCACCATGGCACCATTCCTGGTACCATGGTCCCATTCCGGACTCCATAGCCCCATTCCTGGCACCATGGTCCCATTCCTGGCACCATGGCACCATTCGTGGCAACATGGCACCATTCCTGGCACCATGGCACCATTCCTGGCACCATGGCACCAATCCTGGCGTCATGGCCCCTTTCCTGGCACCATGGTCCCATTCCTGGCACCATGGCACCATTCTTGGGACCATGGCACTATTCCTGGCACCATGGCCACATTCCTGGCACCATTCCTGGCACCATGGCCCCATTCCTGGAACCATGGCCCCATTCCTGGCACCATGGCCACATTCCTGGCACCATGGCACCATTCCTGGAACCATGGTACCATTCCTGGCACCATGGCCCCATTCCTGGCACCATGGCCCCATTCCTGGCATCGTGGCACCATTCCTGGCACCATGGCACAATTCCTGACACCATGGCACCATTCCTGGCACCATGGCCCCCATTTCTGGCCCCATGGCACCATGGCACCATTCCTGGCACCATGGCACCATTCCTGGCACCATGGCCCCATTCCTGGCACCATGGCACCATTCCTGGCACCATGGCCCCATTCCTGGCACCATGGCCCCATTCCTGGCACCATGGCACCATTCCTGGCACCATGGCCCCATCCCTGGCACCATGGCACCATTCCTGGCACCATGGCACCATTCCCGGCACCATGGCCCCATTCCTGGCACCATGGCACCATTCCTGGCACCATGGCACCATTCCTGGCACTATTCCTGGCACCATGGCACCATTCCTGGCACCATGGCCCCATTCCTGGCACCATGGCCCCATTCCTGGCCCCATTCCTGGCACCATGGCACATTCCTGACACCATGGCACCATTCCTGGCACCATGGCCCCCATTTCTGGCCCCATGGCACCATGGCACCATTCCTGGCACCATTCCTGGCACCATGGCCCCATTCCTGGCACCATGGCCCCATTCCTGGCCCCATTCCTGGCACCATGGCACCATTCCTGGCACCATGGCACCATTCCCGGCACCATGGCCCCGTTCCTGGCACCATGGCACCATTCCTGGCACTATTCCTGGCACCATGGCACCATTCCTGGCACTATTCCTGGCACCATGGCACCATTCCTGGCACTATTCCTGGCACCATGGCACCATTCCTGGCACTATTCCTGGCACCATGGCACCATTCCTGGCACTATTCCTGGCACCATTCTGGCACCATGGCACCATTCCTGGCACCGTGTTCCACCCATCCTTGCCCGCCACGTTACTGATGCAGTGAGAGAGAAATTGCCGGAGCATTATGTTATGTAAATGAAGGCGGAACGTTAATCGTTGCCGATACAATGTTTATTTGATTCAAAGGAAATCAATACATGCTGTTGCAGCGTGGGCGTGTGGGCGTGCTGGTGGGCGTGCTGGTGGGCGTGCTGGTGGGCGTGCGGGTGGGTGTGTGGGCGTGCTGGTGGGCGTGCGTGGGCGTGCTGGTGGGGTGCTGGTGGGCTGGTGGGCGTGCTGGTGGGCGTGCGGGTGGCTGTGGAGGGTGCGGGCGTGCTGTGGGCGTTTAGGCATGCTGGTGGGCGTTGCTGGTGGGCGTGCGTGGTGGTGGGTGTGTGCGTGCTGGTGGGCGGTGCTGGTGTGGGTGTGTGGTGGGCGTGCTGGTGGGCGTGTGGGCGTGCTGGTGGGCGTGCTGGTGGGCGTGCTGGTGGGCGTGCTGGTGGGCGTGCGGGTGGGTGGTGGCGTGCTGGTGGGCGTGCTGGTGGGGCCACGGTGGGTGTGTGGGCGTGCTGGTGGGCGTGTGGGCGTGCTGGTGGGCGTGCTGGTGTGCTGGTGGCGTGTGGGCGTGCTGGTGGGCGTGTGGGCGTGCTGGTGGGCGTGTGGGCGTAGGTATGCTGCTGTGGGCGTGTGGACGTGCTGGTGGGCGTGTGGGCGTGTTGGTGGGCGTGCTGTCGTGCGTGGGGGCGTGCGTGGTGGGCGTGCTGGTGGGCGTGTGGGCGTGCTGGTGGGCGTGCTGGTGGGCGTGTGGGCGTGCTGGTGGGCGTGCTGGTGGGCGTGTGGGCGTGCTTTTGGGATAGGTTGGATTGGTGGTTTGTGTGTGGTGGTTGTCGTGTGTGTATTCACCTAGTTGTGTTCCCCTGGTTGTGCTTGCGGGGGTTGAGCTCTGTTCTTTCGGCCCGCCTCTCAAACGTCAATTAATCAACTGTTACTAACTGCTAATTGATTTTTTTTCACACACACACACACACACAGGAAGCAACCTGTAACAGCTGTCTAACTCCCAGATACCTATTTACCGATATGTAACAGGGGCATCAGAGTGAAAGAAACTGCCCATTGTTCCTCGACGGCGCCGGAAATCGAACCCGGGAGACAGGATTCCCGCGCGCTGTCCACTCAGCTACCAGTGTCCTGTTAACGTACCCTGTACACGTTTGTGTGAGTGTGTGTGTACTCACCTATTTGTACTCACCTATTTGTGCTTGCGGGGGTTGAGCTTTGGCTCTTTGGTCCCTCCTCTCAACTGTCAACTGTGTGTGTGTGTGTGTGTGCGAGTGTGTGTGTGTGTGTGTGTGTGTTTGTGTGTGTGTGTGTGTGTGTATGTGTGTGTGTGTGTGTGTGTGTGTGTGTGTGTGTGTGTGTGTGTGTGTGTGTGTGTATATACGCGCGCCCGCAATTTAGTGAGAACGCGCTCGCGCGTGCGTCTGCTCGTCTATTTCCCTAGCTACACAGTCATGGCGGATAAAATAAATACAAATCTAATTACTCCCCGCCAATGGCCCAATATTCCCACCAAATTTCCCCCAAATCCGTCCATCCGTTTTCGAGTTATTTTCCTAACACACACACAGACAGAATCCCCCCAAAAAATATAAAAACGAAACTATAAAATTCCCCGCCTGGAGTCCACTCGCCCTGAACAATAAAACCCGCACTATTCTCCCCCTTTGTTAATTTTTTGGTCAATACAGCACAAGTCAATAATACTGAACAAATACATTAACAAGAGGAGCCTCATTTATTACTACAATTCATGTATTTGTTTACGTTATGTTTGATGGATTAAAACAAAAATTCGGTGAAATCCTCTACATAAATCACAGGATATACAGAGGCTAAACCTGTGTATTTAATGTGTGTTTCACATTAAAACTGCAGTCAAACTTATTTTTTATAAGTTAAGCACATATCCCCCCCCCCCCACCTCACACACACACACGGTACACACACACCCATACGTGTATACACACACACACACACACACACACACACACACACACACACACACACACACACACACACACACACACACACACACACACACACACACACATATACACACACACACACACACATACGCACACACACACGCACATACACACACACAAGGGGGCCTCGTAGCCTAGTGGATAGCGCGCAGGACTCGTAATTCTGTGGCGCGGGTTCGATTCCCGCACGAGGCAGAAACAAATGGGCAAAGTTTCTTTCACTCTAAGTGCCCCGGTTACCTAGCAGTAAATAGGTACCTGGGAGTTAGTCAGCTGTAACGGGCTGCTTCCTGGGGGGTGTGTGTGTGTGGTGTGGAAAAAAAAAAAAAAAGTATTTAGTAAACAGTTGATTGACAGGTGAGAGGCGGGCCGAAAGAGCAAAGCTCAACCCCCGCAAAACACAACTAGTAAGCACAACTAGTAAACACAACTAGTAAAGACACACACACACACACACACACACACACACACACACACACACACACACACACACACACACACGCACAAAACTATACAACTACGTCAGTACACACGCAGGGGGGCTTCGCAGCTGAGTAATCAGCGTTCGGGGGTCGTAATCCAAAGAGCCCGGGTTAGATTCCCGGCTGATGCAGAAACAAATGGGCACACTTTCTTTCACCCAATGTACCTGTTCACCCAGCAGGACAAACAGGTACCTGGGAGTTATACAGCAGCTACGGACTGCTCCCTGAGGGATGTGTGTGTGTGTCTTAGAGAGAGATTATCTAATAGACATAAATAGAGGGAAAAATAGATCGCTTAGAAATTCGGAGTCTAGGAGCTAATAGCGCGAGTCTACTGATACAAATAGTAAATACACAGAGTCCAGGGAGTGTTAGAGTCTTCTCTCACCTGTCTCTCACCGTCCAGGGAGTCTTCTCTCACCTGTCTCTCACTGTCTAGGGAGTCTTCTCTCACCTGTCTCTCACTGTCCAGGGAGTCTTCTCTCACCCGTCTCTCACTGTCCAGGGAGTCTTCTCTCACCTGTCTCTCACTGTCCAGGGAGTCTTCTCTCACCCGTCTCTCACTGTCCAGGGAGTCTTCTCTCACCTGTCTCTCACTGTCCAGGGAGTCTTCTCTCACCCGTCTCTCACTGTCCAGGGAGTCCTCCCAGCAGGGAGTCAGGCATCACTCCTTTCCCAGCGATTATACTCTAATTATACGTAATTTGATTTCAGGTGTGGTAAGCGTCCTTTTCCACCTCTGGCGCTCTCTCTCTCTCTCTCTCTCTCTCTCTCTCTCTCTCTCTCTCTCTCTCTCTCTCTCTCTCTCTCTCTCTCTCTCTGGTCTTTTACTCCTTCTCTTCAAGATAGTTTGTGGTAGTTTCTTCTCCGTTGCCAGTTCGGTCTTTATCTATTGATTGGTTATTTGTTGTGGTTTAATGAGCCGTGATTGTTTATCTTCCTTAGTTGCATTTCCTCGTGACTGATTGTTTGTATTCTCTTGATTGTTTCCCCGGACCAGCGCTGGCTGTTGTGTAGTTTACAGCGTCTTAAAGTTAGCCTTGACAAGAGCCAATTGTCACGCCAGTCGAGGCTTCACCTCTGGAGAAATATCAATAATCAGCCAACAGATTGTAATTATACTTCAAGACGGTCCACAGATGGGTGGACAGCGCTTCGGATTCGTAGTCCTGAGGTCCCGGGTTCGATCCCCCTTTGGAGGCGGAGACTAATGGGCAAAATGTTTCTTTCACCCTGATGCTCCTGTTACCAAGCAGTAAATAGGTACCTGGGAGTTAGACAGCTGCTACGGGCTGCTTCCTTGGGCTGGAGGCCTGGTCGAGGACCGGGCCGCGGGGACACTAAGCCCCGAAATCATCTCAGGATAACCCTCACAAGATTTAATTTGGTCCACCTTCCCCACGGATTTAGCTGCTATGAGGCTCAGTCCCAGACCTGACCAGAAACAGGTCTGGAACATGTGACAAACGGGCATTTAAGGTTAAGGAATTAGACCTCGTTCTAAGTACTGGAATAATAGGTACCCCTAACTACGCCGTCTATCAATTCCTTTCCAGGTCCTCAGTTACTGCTGGAGTGAAGGAACGGTGCCCAGTCGTCCCATCCTGCAATGGATTCGAACTCAAACCCTCTCGGTTGTGAGGCTGGTGCATTAGCCACCTTGTAACAAGCATTTGTGGAAGAAACATCATGGGACTTGAGAATGGTCCAGGACGGACCGAAACGTCGTCGTCCCTTCACCTTCTAGTGTGAGGTCAACATCATCTGGGAGTAGATGTTCTCTCTCACAGATGTTACCAACTTTCTCTGCTTATTAAAATATAAATGCTATTTGGCTTAAAATCCCAGGGTTAGACATTAATGTCAGGGTTAGACATTAATGTCAGGGTTAGACATTAATGCCAGGGTTAGACATTAATGCCAGGGTTAGCCATTAATGCCAGGGTTAGCCATTAATGCTAGGGTTAGCCATTAATGCCAGGGTTAGACATTAATGTCAGGGTTAGACATTAATGCTAGGGTTAGACATTAATGTCAGGGTTAGCCATTAATGCCAGGGTTAGACATTAATGCCAGGGTTAGACATTAATGCTAGGGTTAGACATTAATGCTAGGGTTAGACATTAATGTCAGGGTTAGACATTAATGCTAGGGTTAGACATTAATGTCAGGGTTAGACATTAATGCCAGGGTTAGACATTAATGCCAGGGTTAGATATTAATGCCAGTGTTAGACATTAATGCCAGGGTTAGACATTAATGCCAGGGTTAGACATTAATGCCAGGGTTAGCCATTAATGCCAGGGTTAGAAATGAAAATAAACAGCGATAA